TCTGAGCTTTACGACACAGGTGTACAAAAAAAAGGTTCTGCATATTGAACCAAACCCCTATATTCCTATGTCATTCGACGCGCTTAATACGAATCCGAGGTCTGTTACCCTCCATCACGTCAGGTTCGAGGTCATTTGAAGGTCAAGTAGGGAAAAATTCATTGAATCATCCTGAAGCAAAGCGACACATAGGCTAAGGTAGCGGTGCGAGAGAAACAACTGTCAGTTTATCGAACCTTTAATTATTGAATCACGTATACGCACAATAACCGCGAGAATTAAGCTTAAAGAACACATTAAGGGTATTCATCAAACCTTATAAATCCATTATATACTGTATCAACTTATAATTGTATAAACTCGGTTAAAAATAAAGTACCTTTAAAAAAGCTTTATAAACTGCAAAATTTATGAAAACGTCATTTTACAAGGCTCTTTAAACCTATTTTATTTTTTTATGAATAAGGCCATAAGTATCAAAATTTGTATGAATGTTGCTTACACATTTCTGGTAAATTTCTCCAGCGATTTCACTGAATAAACTTGATAAACTGAAGCCAATTCAACTCTGTCGCAACTCTAGCTGTGTTTTCTTTGGCAATAATCGGGATCCGCATACAAATTCTGTACGCATATACAACAGCAATAATATGATCCTGATAACCAAAGAAAACACGACTATTGTCGCTAGTGTAAACGAAAGGAGAGAATGGGGAGTTCATATTACAGAGTGCTTAAATTTATAAGAATAGCTGCTTGAAATATAGCCAGAACTGGTCAACATAAGGCATTTCTATTATTGCCAACACTGCAAATTACCAATCCCGAAAATCCCGGGATTCTTTGCCAAAAATCCCGTAATTTTCGGGGATCCCTGGACTAACATCTCTAATGTCGATTCAAAGAAAAAAAATGTTGTTCTTGCATGGTAAGTGCGATATGAATGTTGTTACATAGAGTCCGACCGATTAATCGGCATCGGCTAGTATCGGCACAAAATTGGACATCGGCATCGGCATCGACAGACAACAGCCAACATCAAAAAACATTTGCAGACAGCTCTCAAAAATTATTTTTTTTTGTTGAAGGTGTTTCCCGTGTTTTCCATACATAATCGACAATTTTCTTCTATATGGAGGGCACAGCCAGCAAAAAAAAATTAACAAAAGTTAACGGGATTTTATAGCAGCTTGTAACTTGCACTGCACAAAACTGCATACCAAAAATCCGATTAAAAAGTTTGAAATTTTGGTGAAAATAAGCAAAATTTTTCTAATTTTTGTACAAAGTTTGAAATCTGAATTTATATGGTGTTTGTGCTATACAAGCTAGACTTTTATAAAAAAAAAAATGAATAAAATTTATTATTATTATAAAAATATCGCTCTTCTTTTATTTTATGGACCACTATATGTATGTACATTAGAGTGGTTCAAAAACAATATAGTCGGAATTTTAATGCCGCCACCCCCTAGGATTGTTCTGAACGGAAAAAATATACCCCTATTTTTTATTTTAAAAGAAAAATATATTTAGGGAGTGCTCACAGCGCTCACTTTTTTAAACCATTGATTGGCCTTAACTTTAGAAAATTTTTAAAACATTTGGGGTCGGTCAACTCCCCGAAACATCAAAATACTGCCCAAAAATTACGTTTTTTACTACTAAAAAAAAATAGAAAACGGCAGCACTGTGTACGGAACACAAGCATATACAAAAATGCATAATTTATAGATATACATACATACTCAAGAATGATAGAATGTTCGCTGCACCGTGATACATACTGTACGTATGTAGGTACATATCTAGATACACCTATATACGTATGTATGTATATACTATGTGCATATGCATTGGCAGTTATCATGAGCATGGTAATATGAGGGATCGGTGGTTGCTGCAGATATGTACATCTGACCAGCAATAGCTCAGGATTTTAACCATAAATGTAATCTTCATGAACTTAATTTGTGTGCGTATATGATTTTCTAATTTTAACGAAACCATATGGTATATTTCTTATAGCCAATTTCACGAAATCAATTTAAGTGAAAAATGAATTTAATTTTTTAAATTTTATATGGAAATTAAAAATTTTAATTTTGAAGGAATTTTGCTTAGATCGCTGAAGGGTTAATATTAATTTCCTTTTGTCCACTCTTTCTATAACTCAGTGCTGTAGTTTATGTTACTTTTTGGTAAACGAATGGCACCCTACAAATGGCGTTGCCATATGTTGAACGTTAAAATAATTTTGTGCATTCAATTTAGCATAATCTCAAGATATTTATCTACTATTTCTTTATTTTTACATGTCATATTTGAAAATTATACTTTTGTAGATCTGCGCTGCCAGCGCAGGCGAGGAGTATAATTTACCCAAAAGACTGAGTTGTATAGCTGAAAGCAGGAATGATTCAGCCGATGAGGAGGATAAAATACAATGTTGGAAGAGTCAATTATCATAATCAGGGCTGTCATGGAATTCAATTGCTGTCGGGATTGGATTTGAAAACGACAAAAAATACTTTGGTATCATGAAATCCAATGTTATCGGTTTTATGTTGGAATCGGAATTAGTGTCGGTTTTAGGTGTCACAGAAACCAATAATATCGATTTTGCTATCGGAAACAAACCAAGCAGCTATTTTTTAAAAATGTAATTAAATGGAGGTTTGTTTTAACAGTTTTCTTCCAATAATAGAAATGCTCCAACTGCATATGTCATTTTGCGCTCACTTATTTTTGTATAAATTATTGAAAACAACTAATTTTATAAAATTTTGCTAAAAAAAAAATTTACATTAAAATTAGTGTTGCGAGTACTTTCTTTGATATGGATACTTTTAAGGATCATGTATTTCTCAAAGTACTGAGTACTTTCTTTACATATACACATGTTGGTAAAATTTCAATACTTAGTGTAGAAATCCCACAAACTAACAGTATTTTATTGAAATAAATATATGAATCCCAAATTACGTTAAATGAATGCCTAACTGTACTGGGTACAAGTATTGTACCCGAAAAATATTGAAACTGCCTATTAGGTATAATCATTTCTGAATACCGGTAAATGTAAATAAAAGTCAGTACTTTTTAAGTCTATTTGACATTTAATACTGAGTCCTTTGAATCGACCCGGAGTACATGTATCAAAGCGATTATTGGAACAGAGAATTTTTGAGTACTGAGTACTTTCGAGTTTCTTTTTTGAGTACTGAGTACTTTCGAATTCTTTTGTGAGTACTGAGTTCTTTGGAGTACTCAGTATCGATACTAGTAAAAATCGGGTGCTGTCGATCCTTTTTAGAATAGAGTTCTGCAGCCGAATTCCTACATTCGCTGTCGCAAATTTTAATCGCCAAAATTCTTCCAAAGAATAGCCGTCGCGCCTAACAACATGCAACATCTAATTGCATGCTCCTCATACTGCCAGATTTGGCTAATTACACATTAGGGGTCTTCATCAAAAGTGATAAACTGCTGATAAAATGATAACTTTATCATTTTGATAAATGAACTGTAAAACTTTGTATGAACATCTATTTAACCAAAGTTTATCGCTTTATCAAACGATTTTGTAGGATAAATGCATGAATTTTACTTTTGTGCAGTTATTTACTAAGGTGCGCTCATGAAAGAATGCGGATAAACTAATAAATTTAAGCAATTTGTACCTTTATCACTTTAAATGAAGAGCCCTATTATATCTGCTACTTTTCATGTGTGTTCTTTAAGGTCCTACTGCTTTTCATTTAGAAAATTTTGGCGATGGAAATTTAGCGTGGCTGGCGATTGTCAGAATACCACTGCTGAGTACTTTTGGTGTAAATACTGCCCAACACTAATTAAAATTGCAAAAATACAAAAAAGTCTCCGCAAGGCGTATTTAACAAGGCCGTAAATAAGTAAAAAAAAATGACACTAGCAAATTATACGCAGATATCCATACTGTCATTGGTATGAATTACAACAAACACATCATTTTGACGTAATGCTTTTCACGGCGAAAAAACTCAGCTATCGCCCCTACACCACCTCGTTAAACACCTCTTGGATCGCCGTGTGCTTGCTGTCTACTTTGAGGCAAGCGATTTTTGAGCCACCATTTACACGAGCGATTTTTCCAGAGCAATGTTGAATCGCCTGAAAAATCGCCTCATGTAAAGGCAGCTTTACATACACGATTGTAATCGACGCTTTTCTCAATGCTTTTGTCGCTGCCCCTTTATGCGCTTAACCTAAAGCTGGATTTACATGAGGCGATATTCTAGGTGATTCAAGATTGCTCCAGAAAAATCGCTCGTGTAAATGGTGGATAGGTTTTAGGTAGTAAAATACGATAAAAATAGTCAGCCCAGGGCGAATTTACAACACGTGATGTTAGCCGTATATATGTAAGTAAAAATTGCGCTGACAAAATATACGCACAATGACAGTACGAATAATAACCAATATATCATATTGACTTTTGGCACTCCTTGTGTAAATTCGCCCTGGTATAAATGAAAATAAGTCCCGATGTATTGAAAAAAAAGAAGTATTTTAATTTAAAATGCCTTTGTAGATATTTGATGTATTCACAACGATGTCGTAAGTGTCGTATTGTTGTATGTCGTAAACTTTAAACGTCTAAAAATATATCAAGGGGGTTTACAAGGGCCCTAAAAAGTCATTTTATGAATTTTCACAATGCTACAAAAAAGTTGGCTGTGGTTTCAAGTCCTCTAAACATTTATTTAAGCTTTTAAACTTTACGACATACAACAATAAGACACTTACGACACCCTTGTGAATACCCAAATTAAAAAAATAACAATTATTGAAAGGGTGAACTTAAATTTCGAAGTTTTGTGCAATTACAACCGGAATTTTTAACAATCAGGTAACTCTGTATCGCCATGTCTGCAATTAAACGTAGTAGAATATAGCAACCCTGGTGGCGTCGTTCGCGCTTCTTCGGCCCTTTCACATCGTTGTATGGTCGGCATTTTTCACTACTTCATTAAGATCGAAAGAGGAAGGAGGAAACAGCGAAAATTTGCATCTAATAATTTAGCGGAGTGCGGCATCGGCGATTTTTAGATTTTATCTATATTTACCTGCAACTAAGTAAAAAACTAAGCAGCAAATATGTCTGACGAAAAGAAGGTAAGTCGGTGTAAGAGTTCAAGATAGAAAAAATGCAAAAATGTACGTAATTATCGCTAAAAAGCAAGAAACAAAGTGGAACCTGCTGAAAGTGTGTGTGTGCAAGCTATACAGCGAAGAAGCAAAAAATTTATGACGCCGACAACATGGCGCGGTGAAACCGAAATTGACTGCTTGTGGCGAAGAAAATATGGACATTCAATTTTCAAATGTTTATTATGGAACATATTTTTAGTGCCATATTACACGTAGAAACACGATACTCGGTTTAATTAACTATGAATTTTCGGTCTTCAGTAGCATTGGCCTCAACATAACCTTAAATATGATTTTTTTTTTAGCGCTTGTTTGTTCGCCGACGTGCAAGCATTTTGAACAGCTAGACAATTTAGAGAAGGCGATTGCAAAAATTAGTGGTACCCCTAATTTGCAATCTATGGTTTAGGGAGGTATATTCCTTGATCGATTCCACAGCATAAAATTCCATGCGCTTTGTGCCGTCGCACAGTGGAGCAAATCTTTAAAAAAATTGTGAAAAATGCTTATCTGATGAAACTGATGTATTATATAGAGTACAAATCATGTTAATTCACATAACTTATTTATTTTTTATCTTTCTTTCATTTGCAGGGTGAAACAGAGCACATCAATCTGAAAGTTTTGGGTCAAGACAATGCTGTTGTCCAATTCAAAATTAAAAAACATACACCTTTGAGAAAGCTTATGAACGCTTATTGTGACAGAGCGGTAAATTTTGAATTTATAAAATACATGTTTATGGCAAAATTCTAAAACTCCTTCATTCATTTTGTATGTAGGGTTTATCCATGCAAGTAGTACGGTTTCGCTTCGATGGCCAGCCAATAAACGAAAATGATACACCAACATCATTGGAGATGGAGGAGGGTGACACTATCGAAGTGTACCAACAGCAGACGGGAGGTCGAAATTAATTTTGAAATTAACCAAGAAAATCTATAATAAAATCACTTAAACATTAAAGAAATCATTTTAAAACAAAAAACAAAGTACACACAAAGATGATAAGAAGTTAAAATAAGTATCATCCAAAATATGCTGAAGTAATTACTATGGTGACAGTAAAACCCTCATGTACGAAGAGAAAGTGCTGTTCCAAAATAAATCGGCGAAAATCTAAAATTTCAGCTTGTTTATACGAGGAGTTTGTTGATCGTGTGCGAGTCGATAACAAAAGCCGCTCAAGATTGCTTGCAACTAAATGGATCGCTAATCCATTATTATAAATTTTACATTTTCCAATACTTTAACTTTACACTATTTTATAAGCAGTTTGTATGGAATTAATTTTAATTTATGAATGAAAACTAAAGAAAGCATTTAATATTAGATAGACCACTTCTTTTTCATTGTTCATTGAAATAACATTTCTGAAAGAGTTGCAGTAAGCGCGAGCGGTATGGAACCTCACAGTGTTTTGACCATAATTCAAGTTTTGCTTTGGCGAGAAATTGGTGTGCGGAGATGGGCAAACGGCAGGTTTAATTTACATAAGTAAAATTTTAGGTCGTAAAACTGTATTAACAAATAAAGCAGAAGAAATATATGAGTATAGACAAATAAAATGTGTTTGCTTTGATACCAATGTTTGAAGGCTTCTGCGCTTTTGAGAATACAGGGATGGTGGTTGATACATATTTGCAAATTAGATTATGATCAAATTAATGCACTGTACGGCTGTAACTCTTTGCTTTGTAACGTTTGTACAGTTGCAATAAAGCATGCATCCGCCAATTTTCGAGAAGCAAGAGTTGTAGTTGACAAAATAGCTATCAAATTGACCCACTGTGCAGCTGTGACTCACTGCACAGTACCATTTGTACAGTTGTAACAAAACATGCATCCAAGAATTTTCGAGAACCGAGTGGCCGCGCCACCTGGCGAGCACTTGAGCTATTTTTTTCTGCTAACCTAACATATTTAGTGGTCCCACTAGTTTAGGTATAGTGAAGAGGATTTTGTAGGCAAAAACGTATTTTTAAATGGATAATACATACATCAAATAAACTTAAGGCCGTTTTCGAAATTTCACAACCTTAAAAATATAGATCAACTACCACTCCAATACTTCTCATACTCGTTCAGAAATATTTCTAATAATAAGAGCAAACTTGTTTGAAAACTTAACGCCGCTGGTCAAAAAGCCGGTACCAATCAATGTAATGATAAGATAAGTATTGCTAATACATATTAGGCTTTTAATTTTATTTTATTTAGCCTTTTGTTTCAAGTATTTATTATTTCATATATATGTATACTTGGGTATATATGTAAATAGATACATAAGTATGGATGTATATTTAGGGATAGACATATATGTTTCCATTCTAATGTATGTACTTAGTATTGTTACAATATGTGCCGGGGATACATTAGCTGACATTATAAATTCCATCATAGTACATTCAATTGATACTATACCAACATGCCTAAAAAGATCCTTTACATCATTTTTTGCTATAGTTTATGAACGCTTTTTCATCATGTTATTAACATTTTTGATCGTGATATATGTATTCGAAATTAGAATGCACAATGTTCAAAGCGCTTATGTATATAGTTATATAATGCGAAATATCGCTAAGAGAATATCCATTTATTGTATCTTCAATTGATTCCTTTTCTCAGCTTATGCCTTAGCTTCGTTCTTAATTTTTGCTGCTTCGTTCTTTGCCTTCTCTTTAACTTCGTTTACTTTTTTTAAATGCTTCTTGCCGATCAGATGTTGTTGTAAACCAGCGACATGACACATGGATATATTACAACACTCACAGTAATAAGAGCCACTTGGAGTCCGGTACATAGACAAATCAGCGGTTGGATTGCTTTGCTTTAGGCTTTCTAATATCGTATCAGAGGAATTGGTTGCAACTGGCGTAATTGAAACAGGTTTTGCCTGTGCAATAGATTCTTCCAAACTTAGAGATTTTAGTTTTTTCTTGTGTTTTACGCCTTCCAAATGCATTGTCATCTGCCCCTCAGAAGTTGCATGTACCTTACATATCTCACAATATGACGATGTTGCCACAACTTTTTTAGAAGTTGGCCCAGCAGCAATAAGCTTAACATGGCCATCTGGACTAATAGCAGTTTTGGCAACGTTATCTGTGGGTGTAGTCGTATCAGGTGCAGCTCCTTCATCAGACGCGTCCGGGTAAGCCTGGAACAAACTCCCAATACCAAAGCGTCCATCATTTTCGATTTTGGGCACATATTTGGTTCCCGTACGAACCCATTTATTTTCGGTATTGTAAAAGCCAGCTCCAGAAGGTTGGGAGACTTTGCTGGCGACAAGTTTATGCTTACGGCCTGAGTAATGCTGACTGGCATGTGCCAATGATCCAAATTTCAAGTCGCATATTTCGCAATGATAAATATCTGTTCCGGTTGGGCCATCCTTAATGAACCTCTTAACTATGGGTGCTGTTTGCCCCTTATCTACAAAATTCTTATTTAGCCAAGTTGTTATATGACGATCATGCTGTTTGGATTCATAATGATCCTTAGCACTTTTTGAGGAATTCATTTGCACATCACATAGAGAACAATGCAGTGGATGTATCAACTTATTCAACTCATCTGGATAACTAGTATCTCGACCGTGAAATATTACAAGTTTACCATCTAATGTAGTTTCTGCCAGGGGGTCCAGCTTTGATCTACCCGGACCTGAATCGTATTTACGCTTCTGAGGCTTTGACGGCAAGGGTGGTATGTAATTAGTTCCTTGCAAACCTGGGGGAATGTATCGATTAATATTTTGATATTGATTATAAATATCCACAGCTTGTTGCTGATTCTGCTGGTGCGTTCCATCGTGAGATGGAATTGCGGACATTGGGGCCACTACACCATGCTGAATTGTAGGAATATGATAGCCAGCCAAGAAATCGTAGCTCATATTGAACTTTTGTAGTAGCGGTGTTATCCAAGAATTTTTTAATTTTTAACTTTTCTAAAATATGCAATTGCAGCACAGGCCCAAGTATTTTGAAGGAAAATAATAGAGTTGCCAAGTAAAAACTTGGCCTAGACGCTTTGAGTACCAGTCATGTACGACTGAGTCAAATCGCCAGAAAAATTAAGCATTCGAATCATTGCGCATATATGAAGCAGGGATGTTGCGAATATTTGTATTCGCATTCGTTATTCAAATGATTCGCAACATTTTACACATTCGCATCGACTTTCGCATCAAATGATATGAATATTTTCCGAATGCGAATGTGTAGTGCGCATTTAATGCCCATTAAGCACACAATCGTAGCGTAACGCAAATACATATGTCAAAGGTTGTTTAGTATTACTGGCAAAAAAAAACTCTCGACCGCTGCTGCATGTCGTAGAAAGTAGAAATATGTTATGTTATGAATATGTTATGTATTTTTTGTTAACGTTTGCACTTTATCTTCTTTTTGCGATGACCTGTAAAAAATTTCAGTGCTATTCATATTTACGTAGTTGTAATTGAGCAACTGTTCCGTGCAGCCGGGCTTATATACGAGCCTCTAAGAAATCACCTCTTGGGAGAAACGGAAGCAACATTACTTTTTATATGTAATATGCCGCTTTTGAACTTTGACTACTAGATTAAAACATTGCATAACATAAGCACTAGTTTAGTGGTCTAATAATTTATAAAACGATGACTTAAGTTGATAAACTGTGTACAACTCGTAAGTTTACGAGGCTTTTAATGGAACACCACCTTTGTGAAAAGGTGTAAATAGGCATGAACCAAAAATACAAGATCACGCCTTTTCTTAGTAGCCCGTTATAATCGCATTTAGGAAAAAAGTTGGGCGACTTTGACATTAGCCGTTTGTTTACATTTGTTCGTTGTTTACAATTTGATGGTGGCTTTTTACTGCAATTTTCTTAATTTTCGCTTGTGACAACGTGTGCACACATTAGGTAAAGAATAATTTAACACAACGACATGACTTATAGAAGAATTTGCATAATAAAAATGATTATTCATGCGTTCAACAATTACGCGGTTTTTTTTTGTTCTCTTCTTTGTTTACTTCTAACAACAAAGATGGCGTCGAGATTTCAACAGCTAGAAAATAACTTTTTTCTTTCTTTCGGGAATGTGTGATCTTGTGTTTTTCGTTCATGTAAATAGGTGCGTAAAGTGACTGTTTGACAGATCAACCAGGATTTTTTGAAACATTTTTTGTTGCGTAGACTCTCGTCTTAAATGATATTCATTCATTTTATTTGCTTATTATTTTTTCATTAATTTCCAATATTTTGTCATATATTTTAGTATACAAATTTCGACCCCTCGGCAACATCGAAGTTAACGAGGTCGTTTGCGCATCAAATTTGCCTCTTAATTTTAGAAGGGGCTCATAAATAGAACTCCATACAAATTTTGACAGTTCTTTTACGACGCTCGTAAATTTACGAGCTTTAAGGGTTTACGTAGATATCTACGTTCTTTGATCGAATATTGCTGGATGAAATTTAAACTAATAAGGAAACTGCTTGTGGGTTTTTATTGATGAAATTCACAAACTAAACCTATTTAAATATATAATATATTGTTTTATCAGGAGTTTGCTGCAAATAAACAACCATGTTATCAGCTGTTCATGAAGCTCGCAAAATATGACTGGATTTGCGTTCGCGTACTTTTATGGAAATTTTTTCTATGAGAGCGAAAACAGTTACTGGAGAGTTGCTGGTAAGTTACTGGATAATTTGTAAACAAACACAACTAGATACCGAATTCAGCCCCAGCTGGTGAAAAGGATGTTCACAGTTGATAAAATTACCGAGTACCAACTAACACTTTTCCAAAACTTCCGAAATGGGTGTGAGACCCTCACTATTTCTACATACTGTGGCGCAGAAAATGCAACGCTGTTTTATTTATTGGGTTGTCATAAACAGCTGACTGCAAGCAGTGTCCCACAAACAAAAATGAATAAACGTTTTACAATCAAGTGATCGTAAATTAAATTGTAACCCGACTGATTAAATTATTTGTTCTAAAAGAATTAACTAAAATGGAGGATGACGATGCTGGTGTGCACCGACTGGAAGGTTCCTCTGGCAACGTTCGTGGCGGATTGATTATTAAGAAACAAAAAGAGGAAGGCAGCGATAGCAAATTCATACTACCAAAGCCGTCTATACTGGGTTTGGATCGTTTAGCTGCTCAGCGACGTAGAGAACGTGAGGAGGCACAACGTTTAATATCCTTCAAAGATAATGAGAACGATGAAGATGATGAACGTAAGGGTGGTGTTTCCGCTACATCTATTGGCGATGAATTTGCTTTCAAAAAGCCCGATACCAGTAGCGTTCACAAAATGAATAGGCAACTGCGGGAACCTAAAGTAGAAACACCATCACATACGGGGGGTGTGTCAGAAGAGGCTCGGGAGCGTTTGCGTGAGCATGTTAAGCGGGATCGAGAGCGCACTACTAAAGGAGGCATGCGCTATTCCACTCGTGAGTACAGTAAAAATGATTCTAGAGATCGTTCATCTTCAAGCTCATCTAGTCGTGATCGCGATCGAGATCGAGAACGCCGACGCGATAGAGACCGGTATGCATACATACGTGATAGGGAAAGAGATAGGGATCGTGATAGGGACAGAAATAGAGACAGAGATCGCCATGATCGCAGTAAAAATGATTCTGAAAGAACTAATCGTGGTGATGCAACATCCGTTCGTAGCGGCGAGCGCACACCAAGATTTAAGGATGAGCCTCAAACACCGATGAACATATCTGTGAGTGGCAGTGCATGGGATGATGATGACACCGACCGACCTTCACAATCAAAGAAATCATCCTGGGACTTTCCTACACCTAAATCATATGCTAGTTCAGATCGCCCCGATTCGTCGACAAGAAGCAGCAATACTAGCGGTATTGGTACAAGTAGTTCACGTAGTCGTTCTCGTCACGAACGTGAAGATGATACACCGAGACCAACACCTGCCCATAACTATAATGCATGGGCCAATGACCGCAAACGATCTGGTGCGACACCCGCAACTGGACGAAGCAATCGCCAACCGTGGGGTGAAAGTGAAGAGGACCGTGATCTATGGGAAGAAGAGCAGCGCCGACTAGATCGTGAATGGTATAATATTGATGAAGGATATGATGACGAAAATAATCCTTTCACAGGGGCCAATGCGGAATATTTCAAGTAATTTAAAATTTATATTAGTTTAATTTTAACTAATGAATATCTTCCTTACAGAAAACGAGAAGAAATAATTGAACAAAAGCGGACCAAACGTATTAGTGCACAACAACGGCAAATTAACAAAGATAACGAATTATGGGAGCGTAATCGTATGCTTACTTCCGGCGTTGTTATGTCCATCAACGTAAATGAAGATTTCGATGAGGAAGCATTGGAGCGCGTTCATCTGTTGGTGCACCACATTATACCACCATTCCTCGACGGGCGAATCGTGTTCACTAAACAACCCGAACCGGTTATACCCGTTAAAGATCCCACCTCAGATATGGCATTGATTGCGCGCAAAGGCAGCGCTCTGGTACGTGTGTATCGCGAGCAAAAAGAACGTCGAAAAGCGCAAAAGAAGCATTGGGAATTGAGTGGTACCAAATTGGGTAATATCATGGGTATTGAAAAGAAGATTGACGAAGAAGATGCCAAATTCGACAAGGATACCGATACAGCAGATTATCGAAAAGACCAGAAATTCGCTGAACATATGCGCGATCAAGATTCTGGTGGGATGAGTGATTTTGCACGCAAAAAGACCATTTTAGAGCAGCGTAGATTTTTGCCTGTATTCGCTGTGCGCCAAGAGCTGTTGAATGTAATCAGAGAGAACTCTGTAGTGATTATTGTTGGAGAAACAGGCAGCGGCAAAACAACGCAGTTGACTCAATATTTACATGAAGATGGTTACAGCAATTTTGGCATGATAGGTTGTACACAGCCTCGTCGTGTCGCAGCCATGTCTGTGGCGAAGCGTGTTTCCGATGAAATGGGTACTAAGTTGGGTAAGATAAAAATTGTGTTTATATATCCCTTTGTTGCTACTGAAATTGCTGCTTCTTTACAGGTGACGAAGTCGGTTATGCTATACGATTCGAAGATTGCACTTCCGAAAAGACTGTAATCAAATACATGACTGATGGTATTTTATTGCGTGAAAGTTTACGGGATCCCGATTTAGATGGCTATTCGGCCATTATAATGGATGAAGCGCATGAACGTTCATTATCTACTGATGTGCTTTTCGGATTATTACGTGAGGTGAGTGTTTTATACATTTTCACTTGCCTATAGTGTAGTGTGATTAGGCCCTTCAACATTTGATGTCAATTTATTTACAGTAATTAAGTTTTATATTCGAGCCATTATTAGACAATAATCTCTAATACTGAGATATTTCTTTGCCTACCGCCTCTTATGTGCGTATTTTTTATGGCATTAAGCCTTAGGTGTTTATTGCCTTTAACAGGTCAATTCTGCGCTTAAAAAAAATGTTTTAACCGGTAAATAAAATTGACACGGGAACATTTTGCACGTTTAACAATACAAATATTTAATTAAAAATAACAATTTTTATGTGATTTAATCATACAATTAATATGCTTCACGAGAATATGTTCAGACTAACAGACTACTATGTGAAACCCTTACGGTCAGCCAGCATAACCTAACAGATTACTAAACTCGCCATAAATGGCGTTGATATGCGTTGTTCCATCTTTTTTTTATGGATCGATAAAAGGTGGATGGTTGTTTCGTTGTAGTATATTTGTTAGAGCTGAAGTTATTCAGTTGTTCACTTTCATTGTGAATGTTGAGGTCGGTTGGAAAGAGGGTATGTCGCCTTAATTGATTAATAGTCTAATAATATTATTGTTTTACCCAAACATGGTTCCTTAAATGATGTGAATGCCACATCAGTGTACTATTTGGAATGTAGTAGTGCCCATTCTTACTTCATAAAGTCAAATACTGTTCTTGAATTCAAGGCCTGATCGTTGAGTTGTATGGATTCCAGCATATTATCCAATTGTTTGTAATAAAACTGCTCGTTGATAAGCCTTATCGTTTTGTGGAGAGTGCTTTTTGCTACTTATGGCTTTAAAATTCTTGATGGAAACACTGCATATCTATGCTTTACCCCGTTTTTAAGTAAAATGTCTCTACTAACAATGTGCAAAAAAATACCACAAATAGGAAAGCGTTGGGTACAAAATTTATTCATCTGCATGTTTTTAATACCAAACGAGTGGTTAGAGGTGCGTACTGTCCTTCGGTAGGATTCAGGTTCGATTGCTGGTACGTTTCACTTACAAAGCCTTTGTTGTTGTTGTTGTGGCGGCTACTAAACCCCGCTCGGGTCGGCTTTTCTAAAAGCAGTCGCCCCTCGGCAGTCAATGGCAAATGGCCGAGTGAATTTCTGCCATGAAAAAGCGTCTCACAAAAACAATATGCCGTTCGGCGTTGGTTCTAAGCTGAAGGCCCCTCATTTGATTTAACAACATCAATACCCACACCACAAATTGTAATTGTAATTGTAATTTATTGCAGTCATATGAAACAGACGTTCCTTACAGACTAGAGATAAAAATTAGGTACTTAGACGATACGTGTTCGAGATCAAAGATAAAATAAATAAACTTTTTGGAAGAGAAAAATCCAGTTCGATAGAATTCGAGATCGTGTTGAATTCGTTTAAAGCTCTTGAAATAGGAGCATTTCTGGCATACTCCGTTTTACAATTTCCTCCCTAAAACGGCAGAGGATTGCGAAGATTCCTTAGAGGAACATTGAAGTTGACCTGCTCTAGGAGCGTAGGGCAATCGATCACACCATTTATTAAGTTAAACGTAAAAGTTAGAGATAGATAAAATCTTCTGGATTCCAGAGATTTAAGGTCTATTAATAGCAAACGAGACTTATACGATGGAATAGGCTCGCTGAAGTTAAGATTTCTGAGGGCAAATTTAAGAAAAACCTTTTGAACCCTTTCAATCCTATTAATTAGGTTTGAGTGGATAAAAGAAGCATATTCTAACTTAGAATTTTTAAATCGTCAGCATACAGCAAAAATTTAGCAAATGAAAAACAAGAACTCACATCATTTATAAATAATACAAAGAGTAAGGGACCTAAAATGCTACCTTGAGGAACCCCCGATGAGGCAATGAAAGATTCCGAAGAACAACCATTAACAGAGACCACACTTAGGACAGCGACGGGATGCCTCTTGATGTCGCCTGAACACCACCTGCACGGCGAGGCGCAAATGCTCCCAGTTAAGGAGCATAATATAATGCTCTGCAAGCAGTTCCTGATCGGGAGCCACAGAAGTGGCCACCCAAGCAGACAGCGGCTTGCAGAGGAGCCCTCGCCAAGGAACGTCAGGAGGCATCTATATGAACTGACGGACGAAGTCCAGAGGTTCATTAAACAACCTCTGGACCCGACAGCGTACAGACAGGCCCTGAACGGCATTCACAGGGACTCAGTCTCGAGTTATGTAGACTCTAGACCTGTGAATGCCGTTCTAGGCATACCACCCCCGGACATAGACGAGACAGAGCTTCATCTGCCTCGGGAGACACGCACTACACTCGCACAACTTCGCTCCGGCTACTGCAGCAGGTTGAACTCCTACTTGAGTAGGTTGAATGAGGATGTGCCGAATGAGTGTCCGGCATGCGGAGAGACCCCACATGGCTCGAAACATCTCTTCGCATGCCCGGAAAACCCGACAACCCTAACGGCCTTGTCCCTGTGGACAAATCCCACAGAAGCTGCACGCTTCCTAGGGTTGCCGTTAGTGGAACTTGACGACAACGACTGAGATACCAACCGATCTGGGCGGGGTTGTTGTAGCCGCTACAACAACAACAACAACAACCACACAGCTCCTATCCGACAAATAAGATGTGGTCCATTGCAAAAATACTGAGTGGAAACCCAGTGAGGCTAGCTTACTGACCAACAAACTGTGCGAAACTTTATCAAATGCTTTGGCATGATCAGTGTAAATGCAGTCGACTTGGAAACCGTTCGAGATAGCAGCAAAACAATACTCACTAAAGACGCCTAGATTAGTAACCGTAGATCGGTTGGGGACGAAACTATGTTTATTGGGTGAGACTAGACTTTTTGTTGCGAAATACATTTTCTCCTTGACGATAACTTCAGAAAGTTTGGAAATTGTTGAAAGTTTCGAAATGGGTCTGTAATTACAGACATCACTTTTGCTGGCACTTTTAAGAATAGGTAAATTGAAGTCAAATTCAATTCATCATAAAAAATACCGGAGGCTAGAGCATGATAAAAATATAGTAAGGTAGAACCGCTGAGAGTCACTTTTAAAATTCTTGACGTTTCCAAACAATTTAATTTTTAAATTTACTCACAAACTCACACACACATTTTCATTTTCAATCTCAAGCAACAACAATTTCGAACAATTTCAATTTTTTATTTTCACTTTTATATGATTTTAAAATGTTGGCAAACTTCAAAAAAAAATCATGGCCGACAAATTGAGAGAACGGTTCTACCTTGCTATGTTTTTATCATGGGCTAGAGACCTATTGAAAATAATTTTTAAAGGAGAGATCAAAGAAGGGCACTTCTTTATAAAGCTTGAAGAGAGCCCATCAATATTTTGTTTTGCAGAAGCTGATAGATTTAAAATGCCATTAGCAATATCGTCAGACGAAAGTCTAAGGGAGCCAAAATTAGTAGAACTCACACTAGCAGAGAAACTAAAATCCACAGTAGGGTTATCATCTACAAAATTAGAACTAAAAAATGCAGCAAATAAATTGGTGAACAAGTTCGGCCAAACACAAAAATTTATAAGAGCCAAATACATACATACATATGTTATTTATCTATTTTTGTTTTACTAACAATTATAGAAATTGTGGCTACTGTGGTGTAGTGGTAAGCAGTGCGCGCTTCCAGGCCCTGGGTTCAAGCCCTGGTCAAAGCAACATCGCAAAAAAATATAGAAAAAAGGTTTTTTCTTAACAGCGGTCGCCCCTCGGCAGGCAATGGAAAATCTCGCGAGTGCAATTCTGCCAGCTTCTCATAATAATACAATCGCCGTTCGGTGTCGGCGTTAACCTGTAGGTTGTTGTTGTAGCGGCTACTAAACCCCGCGCGCAACTTCAACAAGGGTTGTCCGTAAGGACAGAGGCGTTAGCTGGGCGGGGTTTTGGGGGCATGCGAAGAGGTGCTGTGAATCATGTGGCGACTCTCCACATGCCGCACACTGGATGGTCACATTTTCATTTATTCTGTTCAGCTATGAGTTCAGCCTGCTGCAATAGCCAGAGCGAAATTGGGCTATTGTGGTGCGGGCCTCCCGAGGCTGGCAAAGTTCTGTCCCGTCCATGTCCGGTGGTTGTGTGCCCAGAACGGCATTCACGGGTCGAGAGTCTATATAACCCGAGTCCGACTCCTGTGAATGCCGTTTAGGGCCTGTTGGTATGCAGTTGGGTCCAGAGGTTTTTTTATGAACCTCTGGACTTCGTCCTCCAGTTTGTAGAGATGCCGCCTAACGTGCCTTGACGAGGGCTCTTCTGCGAGCAGTTGTCTGTTCGGGTGCCCGCGTCTGTGGCACCCTACTAGGAACTGCTTACAGAACATTGTGTTATGCTCCTTAATGTGGAGCATATGGGCCTCGTCGTGCAGGTGGTGTTGGGGCGACATCAGAAGGCATCCAGTCGCAGTCCGAAGTGCGGTGTTCTGGCTAGTCTGCAGCTCGCCCACTGCGTCCTAGTCGTTCCCGGCGACCACACGGGCGCTGCATAATTTAGAACCGGCCGGCCAATTGCCTTGTATGTTGTCAACAACGTTTCTTAGTCTCTGCCCCAAGTGCTGCCGTCCAGCGACTTGAGGACCTTGTCGCTGCTCTGTACTTTGTTGAAAATTGCGGTTGTATGCGTCGAGAAGGAGAGCAGGGTGTCGAAGGTAACTCCGAGGAGTTTGGGTTATTCACCGTCGGAATTGGTTAGTCCAGGTGGTGAATAAAGTTGTCGAGGATTTTGTGAGGGAGAGGGTTAGGCTCTTTGAAGTGAAGAAGCGAGAAAGCTCGGAAATATAACCGTTAACTTTCGAGCATAAGTCATCAATTCCATTCCCAGATGCCATTATCGAGCAGTCGTCAGCGTAAGAGACAATAGAGACTCCCTCTGGTGGTTGAGGGAGCTTTAAAATATAGTAATTAAACAATACCGGGGATAGGACACCACCCTGTGGTGCCCCTGTTTAATTTTTCTCGGTTTGCTAGTTCGATCTCTAAAGATTACCGACGAATGTCGACTACTCAGATAATTCAAACGCCTTTGACAGGTCCAGCACTACTAGAACCTTTCTTTATAGCGTTAAGTCTTTTTGTTGTGTTCTGCACTTTACGGAACCCATGCTGATGCCTTGCTGGGGTCAGGTGGTTTGTGTAGTGCGGGAGTAGAAGGGCCTCTAGTGTCTTCTCTACCGGGGAAAAAGGGTTATCGGATGATAAGACTCTCCTTTGTTGGACGGTTTCCCCGCTTTGAGCAGTGGGACCACTCTCT